TGGTGATGGTTGGATGTGTAAATGTGCATCTGTGGATTTGTGTACTGTAGATAAGCGTGTGTACGTGTGCGCCTGCGTATTCATTCCAGTCTGTATATGAGAGCATGAAAACATGCATTAATTATTCAGATGCAGCTTACTTGTGGGTTTAGATTTTATCAAAAGTGTGTGAATTTACTTTGAACATGTTTGTGTACACATGCTTGTATGAAATTATAGAGTACCACTGAGAAACTGACGGCCATGTTGTGTTCTGTTCCACTGAAGAGACAGGTGATAGGTTGCCGGAGAGCAAAGATGGCTCCCCAGACCCCACATTGGTGGGAGCCAACCCAGGTATCAATTACAGAACCTTATACAATGGACCACTAAAGCCCCCTAAAGGTTGTTTGGTTGACAGGTACAGCACAAGACTGAGTAGAGACCGTAATGATGACAATGTCTCAACTCCACCTGAATTCACCCTAGGCAAGATTTTGACAGCTTATTAATTTCCATGCCCTAAACACTGTACATGCTGTATGTCAAAGTAATTTGCTATTAGTTTAACAAATAGCACGCAATGCAGGTATTCTCACTGTCACCTTTTCCACCCTCTCTGTAGTATTGTTTACCCATTTGGCGGAATTTAGCCTCTCACATACTGTCTGTTCGCCTATCCCCAACTGCCAAAATGACCTATTTAGATCAGAAACGGATAGGAGCTAACTGCCCTACCTCCTGAGTGGGCCTCTGTTAAACATAGCAGCTTAATTAAAACAGAAGGAAGCTACATGCTCCCAGGCTACTTGACATGGCAGCCTCAACCACACTTCTTGAGGCCTCCTGATAGCCGAGATAGACAGTGTCCTTGGAGAGTTACGGATCTACAGTTGATCAGCCTATTTAAAGTGAATGATGAAATTGGAAGTGAAGCCTAATGTCTGAGTGCCACATTTACTTTGTTATGACAATGAGAGCAATTTGATACTATACTGTATGCTCTCTCATGCTGTGCATGTTCACCTGCACGCCACGCATATGCACGTAAAAAACCGAACCAACTGTAACACTCATTCTGCTTTATCACACAGCAAGAGAGGGTGTGTCACTGGCAGTGGTACCTTATGGGGCATGGCTGTGTATGTACTGCATATGTGAGGGAGGAGAGCAGGGTGGAGGTCTAATCAATAAGATCTGAAATGGGATGAGTGCAGTTTGTCCCATCACTACTGTCTTTTAAGATAGAGCTCCTAAAGAGACTGGTGGCCCAGTCAATTTAATGGTAACAAATGGACCTACAGTACTAAGTACCGGTATGTACCATATTTTTTTTACAGAGAATTACCAGGGTATTTTCCAGATTTGGACCACATACAGAAATGCACGTCTCTCATATGTAACACTAGCTTCATGATATAAATGAGATAAAAACAGGTGACTTTCACGCCATATTGCCCCTACTGTGCATATACACTATGGTAAAACTCCAGTAGGTTTCTCCTCTGCATGCCCCTGTAAAGGACTAGCCACCAGCCAACTCTGATCCCGGTTTATTGATCCAACATAATTTATCAAGCCTGATATATCAGAGCACTGGCTGTACCATTGATTTAGGATGCTGTTTGTTATCAGTAGTGCACCAGTTTTCCCACCCCCGTGTGTGACACAAATCACTTTTAACTGACTGACCAGATGTGTAGAAAGAAACTAGAAACAATTAAAATATTTGTTGGGATTCATTAAAACCAAAAGGCCATTAGCCTTCAGCATTAGGAGGAAAAGTGGGTTGGCGAGGTAAAAAAATATATATATATTTTTTTCCTTGAGTGGGAGTCTCCTGTCGTCTATCCCAGTTTCACCGGGTGGCAGGGCTGTGTTGGGCTATAATTAGTACAGAAGGATGTGCTGCGTGTGTGTGTGTGTGTGTGTGTGTGTGTGTGTGTGTGTGTGAGAGAGGAGGGAGGTGTTTTGGTTGGGGCGGGGCAGGCAGCTGAAGCCGGAGGCCCAACAATAATATAGGACAGTGTGGGTGTGTTAATGAACATGGAGTCTATGGGGAGGTGTGTGCATTGTGTGCATGCATGTCTGTGTGTCTTGGGGTGAAGGATCCCCTCTGCTGCGCCTCTCATTCATAACTCTCACTGTCACCAGAGGTCAAGTTGGGAGTTGGAAAGAGTCCGTGAGAGACTATGTTCTGACAAGGACACAACTGTATATTCAGCTAGCAGTCTACAATTCATTATCATGCACATAACTTGACTTCTCATAGCAGATGCCAACCTCACCAACAACAATCTGTTGGCTCTGCTCAGAGAAGGATAAAGTATTCCAGCCTGGTCCAAGATCTGTTTGGCCACTCTATGGTCATTGTGACTAACAGCACAAACAGATCTGGGATCAGGCTAGAAGTCCTCAGGTAGGAGTGGTATTCCTGGTCACCTGCTACTTTGACTGCAAAGTAAAGGCTTAGTCTAGGTAGCATGACATAGGATGTTTATGCAAGAGTAGAGTTTATGTATTGGAGAACGTGTTTACAGTAACTAGTACTGTTTAAAAATACTAATAAATGAAATAGTTGAGCACCTATGTTACAGCAATGAACAATGATTCCTTTATGAATGGGTGCTATGTTAAGTCTTTCACTTTGTCTAACCGCTTAAAGTAGTAAAGCTTCTGTTTTGTACTGTAGGCAGTAAAACATCAAAACAGTGACTCATATGAATGACTTTTGAGGTTCAATATCAGTGAGAATGGGGACTGTTTCACATCTGACTTCATTCTAAAAGTCGGCTTACAATCTGCTTATAAACACCTATAATGTAAAAATGGGAACATTATAATATGCTATGTTCATCCTTTTACTAACATTACATACAGTAAACCATGAACAACAGGACTTATACAGAATACTTCACTATGGTGAATGATGTAATAATGTTTACAGGCAGACCTTCTCTGTAGCTCTCTACCAATCTCTCCAGCAACTTTTTTGAGAGTGTGTGAGTGAAAGAATTAACGAGATTATGTCAGAATGATGTAAACTATTGTATCAGGCTAGAACTGTGGAACTGTCTTGAACGCACCCTCTTGGCCTGTTAGTTCCCAGGTGTGCCTCATTGTAATTAAGGGCGTGGCCCAAGGTATAAATATCTTTCGTTTTCATTCATTCAGGGGATCCTCTTACTGGGTGCAGGCTGGCTTGCCTTGGGTGGATGGGAGTGGCGACCATGGCTTAGCCCAAATTCAGAGAACATCTCGTTTCAAGTTTTATTGTCACATGCACAAGTACAGTGAAATGCTTAATTTACAAGCTCTGCCCAACAGTGCAGTAATCAATATTAAAATAGTATAACTAATAATATATATTTCTTTAAACACGAGAAATAAGAAATAAGAGAGGAAGCTATATACAGGGTCAGTGTCAATACCAAATGTACAATATGCAGGGATACTGGAGTATTTGAGGTAGATATGTACATATAAGTGGGGATTAGGAGTGGAATGTTATATGAAGATGAATGCTGTAAATCTGTATTGAAATAACCATGTGTTTGTTGTCAACAGACATTGTTCTGAGAGCGCTAGGCGCTTGATGTTGCTGAAACAAAGAGGTGTCCAAGAACGAGCATTGAGTTGCTGAGTAAATTAAAACACATTTCATATCATTTCTTTCCCCCTTTCCCTTCCCCTGTCTCTCCATACCTCCCTCTTGAAACATTCAGTCAGACCAATAACAAAGTCTCTTTAGCAATACACTCTCTGGTGTTGTGGCAACAGCCCCAGGCCACTAGGTGTAACAGGAATACTATCTGTCAGCAGTTAGGGTCACCTGTCGGTAGTGAAATTGACCTCTGAGTCATGGGGGCCCTGAAGAAGGCGACTGTATAGGGACAGGATTGCTGTCGCTGAGTGACGCTTAATGAAGTCATTGAGGTACTGTTGCATTATTGATGAGTTTGTCATAGCAACTGGCTGCATTGTGCATTCAAGGGACATTGTGTGCCTGTCTATTCACGTGGCCTATTCATATGGTCAGGATTTTCACAGAGTGTACAAAACACTAGGAACTCTTTCCATGGCATAGACTGACCAGGTGAATCCAGGTGAAAGCTATGATCCCTTATTGATGTCACTTGTTAAATCCACTTCAATCAGTGTAGATGAAGGGGAGAAGACAGGTTAAAGAAGGATTTTTAAGCCTTGAGACAATTGAGACATGTATTGTGTATGTGTGCCATTCAGATGGTGGATGGGCAAGACAAAATATTTAAGTGCCTTTGAACAGGGTATGGTAGTAGGTGCCAGGCGCACCGGTTTGAGTGTGTCAAGAACTGCAACACTGCTGGGTTTTTCACGCTCAACATTTTCCCTTGTATATCAAGAATGGTCCAACACCCAAAGGACATCAAGCAAACTTGACAAAACTGTGGAAGCATTGGAGTCAACATGGGCCAGCATCCCTGTGGAACACTTTCGACACCTTATTGAGTCCATGCCCGGACGAATTGAGTCTGTTCTGAGGGCAAAAGGGGGTGCAACTCAATATTAGGAAGTTAATGTTTTGTACACTCAGTGTACATTATATCTGCAGGCTAAATGTCACACAGCAATTTGTGTTTATAGTTTTCAGTTGTAGTAAGAAAAGGTTTTAAGATAAACTCATTATGTTTAAAATTAGTCCAATGGAACCTGTTGCAACCAAACATAATTTGGCATCATTGCTTATCAAACTCCAGTCAAAACATGACATTTCATAAAGGCCAAATGTTTTCACCAACACCACATGGTATCAAACTGTTTTCTGACATATTAATACTTTCTCTCTCTTTGTCCCTATATGCTCTTCCTCCCTCCACCTCTCTCTCTCTCTCTCTCTCTCTCTCTCTCTCTCTCTCTCTCTCTCTCTCTCTCTCTCTCTCTCTCTCTCTCTCTCTCTCTCTCTCTCTCACTCTGTCTGTCTGTCTGTTTGTCTGGCTCTGTCTGTCTGGCTCTGGCTCTTTCTCTTTCTTTCTCCATAGAGCTCCATGAATCTGCCTCCAGACAAGGTGAAGATCCTGTGTCAATATGACAACGAAAAGAAGTGGGAACTGGTCTGTGATCAGGTGGGACTCCAACTCCACTGCATCATACAACAGTCTACTGTACTGTTAAAGTTTCAATAACACCTAGTGGATAACATTACAGTAACAGGATGTAATCATAGTTCTTAGGGGAACTTCAGTGTGAGTTTGTATGATAACCAAGTGAAACTTCTTTAGAGAATTCTACGTTGTAATGAATCAATCCCTGATGATATGCACTACATCCTTTAAGCTTGGCAGACCTTCGTATAGCAGCATTGAGGTGTCAAGTATTTTTTTTGTCAGTGTGTCCTAGTTTCTAGGAAAGGACCCCATTGACACACTAATGCAGTGAGAATGGTTGTTCACACACACACTTGCGCACACAAGAAACAACCACCCACCACCACACATGTGCACACACACACACACTTTGTGTCCTGCTGGGAACCTCATCAAAATTGTACGTTGCTGTGGCAACATTGACAAGGCAGATAACTTCCTGTGGCTCAGAGGGGAGTGACACACAGGACACCTGTCACTGTCACTGTAGCACAGACCTGCAATGGTTCAATGTTGTCCCTTCCCTTATCTAGCACAGCTAAAGCCATTGTTAACAAAGGCCGTCTACCTCTACTCTGCCCTGGCATTGAATGATAGATTGACATCCCGACATACAATGTCCCAACATTGGCTCAGCCTCACCAACAGATATATCATTGGTTATATTTGCATAAATGAGGCCTCCCGAGTGGCGCAGCGGTCTAAGGCACTGCAAAGCAGTGCTTAAGGCATCACTACACTTGACCGGGGGGCTTTACTTGGCGCATCGCGCTCTAGCGACTCCTTGTGGTGGGCCGTGCACCTGCAGGCTGACTTCGATCATCAGTTGAATGGTGTTTCCTCCGACACATTGGTGCAGCTGGCTTCCGGGTTAAGCGGGCGGGTGTTAAGGAGGGCGGTTTGGCAGGTCATGTTTCGGAGGACGCATGACTCGACCTTCGCCTGTCCCGAACCCGTTGGGGAGTTGTAGCGATGAGACAATATTTTTTTACATTGTAGAATAATAGTGAAGACATCAAAACTATGAAATAACACATATGGAATCATGTAGTAACCAAAAAAGTGTTAAACAAATCAAAATATATTTTATATTTGAGATTCTTCAAATAGCTACCCTTTGCCTTGATGACAGCTTTGCACACTCTTGGCATTCTCTCAACCAGCTTCACCTGGAATGCTTTTCCAGACCATCTCAATTGAGTTGAAGTCGGGTGATTGTGGAGGCCAGGTCATCTGATGCAGCACTCCATCACTCTCCTTCTTGGTCAAATAGCCCTTACACAGCCTGGATGTGTGTTGGGTCATTGTCCTGTTGAAAAACAAATGATAGTCCCACTAAGCCCAAACCAGATGGGATGGTGTATCGCTGCAGAATGCTGTGGTAGCCATGCTGGTTAAGTGTGCCTTGAATTCTAAATAAATCACAGCAAAGCACCCCCACACCATAACACTTCCTCCTCCATGCTTTACGGTGAGAACGACACATGCGGAGATCATCCGTTCACCCACACCGTGTCTCACAAAGACACGGCTGTTGGTACCAAAAATCTCACATTTGGACTCCAGACCAAAGGACACATTTCCACCGGTCTAATGTCCATTGCTCGTGTTTCTTGGCCCAAGCAGGTCTCTTCTTATTATTGGTGTCCTTTAGTAGTGGTTTCTTTGCAGCAATTCGACCAGGAAGGCCTGATTCACACAGTCTCCTCTGAACAGTTGATGTTGAGATGTTGATGTTGAGATGTGTCTGTTACTTGAACTCTGTGAAGCATTTATTTGGGCGGCAATTTCTGAGGCTGGTAACTCTAATGAACTTATCCTCTGCAGCAGAGGTAACTCTGGGTCTTCCATACCTGTGGCAGTCCTCATGAGAGCCAGTTTCAATATAGCGCTTGATGGTTTTTGCGACTGCACTTGAAGGAACTTCAAAGTTCTTGACATTTTCCGGAGTGACTGACCTTCATGTCTTAAAGTAAAGATGGACTGTCGTTTCTCTTTGCTTATTTGAGCTGTTCTTGCCATAATATGGACTTGGTCTTTTACCAAATAGGGCTCTGCACCGGTACCCCCCTGTACAGTGGGGAAAAAAAGTATTTAGTCAGCCACCAATTGTGCAAGTTCTCCCACTTAAAAAGATGAGAGAGGCCTGTAATTTTCATCATAGGTACACGTCAACTATGACAGACAAAATGAGAAAAAAAATCCAGAAAATCACATTGTAGGAATTTTTATGAATTTATTTGCAAATTATGGTGGAAAATAAGTATTTGGTCAATAACAAAAGTTTCTCAATACTTTGTTATATACCCTTTGTTGGCAATGACACAGGTCAAACATTTTCTGTAAGTCTTCACAAGGTTTTCACACACTGTTGCTGGTATTTTGGCCCATTCCTCCATGCAGATCTCCTCTAGAGCAGTGATGTTTTGGGGCTGTCGCTGGGCAACACGGACTTTCAACTCCCTCCAAAGATTTTCTATGGGGTTGAGATCTGGAGACTGGCTAGGCCACTCCAGGACCTTGAAATGTATCTCACGAAGCCACTCCTTCGTTGCCCGGGCGGTGTGTTTGGGATCATTGTAATGCTGAAAGACCCAGCCACGTTTCATCTTCAATGCCCTTGCTGATGGAAGGAGGTTTTCACTAAAAATCTCACGATACATGGCCCCATTCATTCTTTCCTTTACACGGATCAGTCGTCCTGGTCCCTTTGCAGAAAAAAAGCCCCATAGCATGATTTTTCCACCCCCATGCTTCACAGTAGGTATGGTGTTCTTTGGATGCAACTCAGCATTCTTTGTCCTCCAAACACGACGAGTTGAGTTTTTACCAAAAAGTAATATTTTGGTTTCATCTGACCATATGACATTCTCCCAATCCTCTTCTGGATCATCCAAATGCACTCTAGCAAACTTCAGATGGGCCTGGACATGTACTGGCTTAAGCAGGGGGACACGTCTGGCACTGCAGGATTTGAGTCCCTGGCGGCGTAGTGTGTTACTGATGGTAGGCTTTGTTACTTTGGTCCCAGCTCTCTGCAGGTCATTCACTAGGTCCCCCCGTGTGGTTCTGGGATTTTTGCTCACCGTTCTTGTGATCATTTTGACCCCACGGGGTGAGATCTTGCGTGGAGCCCCAGATCGAGGGAGATTATCAGTGGTCTTGTATGTCTTCCATTTCCTAATAATTGCTCCCACAGTTGATTTCTTCAAACCAAGCTGCTTACCTATTGCAGATTCAGTCTTCCCAGCCTGGTGCAGGTCTACAATTTTGTTTCTGGTGTCCTTTGACAGCTCTTTGGTCTTGGCCATAGTGGAGTTTGGAGTGTGACTGTTTGAGGTTGTGGACAGGTGTCTTTTATACTGATAACAAGTTCAAACAGGTGCCATTAATACAGGTAACGAGTGGAGGACAGAGGAGCCTCTTAAAGAAGAAGTTACAGGTCTGTGAGAGCCAGAAATCTTGCTTGTTTGTAGGTGACCAAATACTTATTTTCCACCATAATTTGCAAATAAATTCATAAAAAATCCCACAATGTGATTTTCTGGATTTTTTTCTTCTCAATTTGTCTGTCATAGTTGACGTGTACCTATGATGAAAATTACAGGCCTCTCTCATCTTTTTAAGTGGGAGAACCTGCACAATTGGTGGCTGACTAAATACTTTCCCCCCCACTGTATATATAGCCTCCCTACTGTTATTTTATTTGACTTCTGCTCTTTTTTTCTCAACACTTTTTTGTTGTTGTTTTATTTTACTTTTTTATTAAAAATAAATGCACTGTTGGTTAAGGGCTGTAAGTAATCATTTCACTGTAATGTCTGCACCTGTTGTATTCGGCGCATGTGGCCAATAAAATGTGATTTGATTTGATTCTGTATACCCCTCCTACCTTGTCACAACACAACTGATTGGCTGAAACGCATTAAGAAGGAAAGAAATTCCACAAATTAACTTTTAAGAAGGCACACCTGTTAATTGAAATGCGTTCCAGGTGACTACCTCATGAAGCTGGTTGAGAGAATGCCAAGAGTGTGCAAAGCTGTCATCAAGGCAAAGGGTGCCTATTTGAAGAAGCTCAAATATAAATATATTTTGATTTGTTTAACACTTTTTTTGTTACTACATGATTCCATATGTGTTATTTCATAGTTTTGATGTCTTCACTATTATTCTACAGTGTAAAAAATAGTAAAAATAAAGAAAAACCCTTGAATGAGTAGATGTGTCCAAACTTTTGACTGGTACTGTATATATTTGCATAAACTAAGCAGCGTAATCATCCCCAGCTTCCAATTCTCCTGTAACTATTCCCCAGGTCGTTGCTGTAAATGAGAATGTGTTCTCAGTCAACTTACCTGGTAAAATAAGGGTTAAAATAAAAATAATCAAGGCTGTGAAGTCCATGCTGAGTTTTGCCCTCTGGTCCCCTTCTCCCACAGTGCACCCATGTAATCAAAAATAATTAGATACATCTCTCTCGCTCTCTGTCTTCTCTCCTTCCTACAGGAACGATTCCAAGTGAAGAATCCTCCCTCTGCTTACTTGCTGAAGCTCAAAATGTATCTTGACATGGGAGGGGTCAGTCGCAAGGTATTGTACCATTACAGTCCCGTAAGAGGCCATTCTGGGCTATGGCCCTGCTCAGATACTTTCAAAAATATCATTTCTTGAAGTAATCACAGAGATAACATAACAGAATTTGCAAAAGCTATATTTAACACTGGTTTCGTCCATAGCTAAATTACCACTTATTTTGTTCACTATACACCATCAAACATTTCTCCACAACGATAATGACCTTGTTGTGCGTGTTATGACAGTTCAAGAGGCGTGTCCAGGAGTCCACACAGGTCTTAAGAGAGCTGGAGATTTCCCTGAGGACCAATCATATCGGGTGAGACCCGCCCCATACCCAACTTTTCTGCTTCCATCAGCACTCAATCTATTGATCATTACACAACCTACATTTATTTTATTTTACCTTTATTTATACAGGTAAGTAAATTAAATGGCAATCCCGCCACTTTTCAACCTCATATTCATTATCTCCAGCACCAAATCAGTGTCTACATACGCGAAAACGGCGTGTTTCTATGATCTGTGTTTAAAAAATAAGAAGAAATGTCCTAAAAAAATGCTTCACAGGGAAGGATTAAAAGCAAAAAAATAAGAGGCCCAACCCACTTTTTCATTCACAATGGGGAGTTCTATAACCATCACCAGTAATAAACCTAAGGGCACAATGGAAAACAGCATCTACTGGTTTAAGTAGATGCTGCTGCATGCATACAGATAATATCCCCATAATTTAAAATAGACATAAGTGGCCTGGACAATTTCCTTCCTATTATCAAAAGTCAGACATGCTTTGTGTCTGTAAAAGAAACCAACCTTGAACTTCAACTTCTTCACCAGCTCAGTGACATGTTTTTAAGTGACAGTTTGTCATCAAGCCAGATACCAACATATTTGTAGGAAGGAACTCGCCTAATTTTTGTACCTTTCAAACTTTGAAAACCCGCTTCAGTGAATTATTGGTTTTTCAGAATTTAGAGGGATCACTAACAGAGTCTGTCATAGCGCTAAGGAAGTAGTTTGATTTGGCCTGTTTAACCGAGGCAGTGCACCCATTTCTCAATTCCATAAATACCTGCCAATCAGATAACGAGCCAGTGTATCTAGCCTTGGCCCAGGCTTGATTTCTTATCAAGAGGAGGTCTGAGAGTACAGGAGAGTACCATGGATTAGTTTGGTTTTTGACTCTGAGTCGCTTGAAAGGGGCATGTTTATCAGCCAGAGAGGTAAAAATGGATGAGAAAATTCAAGTGCCAAAACAGAGTCTGTGCAAGTGTTGGTTCTGGAGACCAGAGGTGGCAGAACGGAGTGCTCGGGTTGTGGTGTAGGGTTTAAGCATAGCCTGAAGGTAGGGAGGGACATTTCCTCTTGCTGTTCCGTAGGTAAGCACCATGGTCATGTAGTGGATGCAAGCTTCGACTGGAAGCCAGTGGAGTGTACAGAGGAACGGGGTGACATGAGAGAACTTGGGAAGGTTGAAATCCAGGCGAGCTGCAGCGTTCTGGATAAATTGCAGGGGTTTGATGGCAAAAGCGGGGAGCCCAGCCAACAGTGAGTTGCAGTAGTCAAGTGCCTGGATTAGGACCTGGGGCACTTCCTGTGTGAGGTAGGGTTGTACTCTACGGATGTCGTAGAGCATGAACCTGCAGGAGTGAGTCACTGATTTGATGTTTTCAGAGAATTAAAGGGTGTTGTCCAGGGTCACGCCAAGTTTCCACTGGAGTTGTCAACCATGATGGAAAGGTCTTTGAGCGGTCAGGCCTTCCCCGGGAGGAAGAGCGCCTCCGTCTTGTTGAGCTTGAGGTGGTGGGCCGACATCCAAGCTGAGATATCTGCCAGGCACACAGAGATGCGTGTCACCACCTGGGTGTCAGAAGGGGGTAAGGAGAAAAGAGTGTCATCCGCATAGCAATGATAGGAGAGACCATGTGAGGATATGACAGAGCCGAGTGACTTGGTGTATATAGAGAATACGAGAGGGCCTAGAATCGAGCCCTGGAGGACACCAGTAGTGAGAGTATGTGGTGCAGACACAGATCCTCTCCACGTCACCTGGTAGGAGCGGCCTTCCGGGTAGGATGCAATCCAAGAGTGTGCAAAGCCTGAGACGCCCAGCACTAAGAGGGTGGAGAGGATGATCTGTTTCTCGGTGTTGAAGGCAGCGGATAGATCTAGGAGGATGAGAACAGAGGAGAGAGAGTCAGCTTTGGCAGTGCGGAGAGCCTCCATGACACAGAAAAGAGCAGTCTCGACTGAGTGACCGGTCTTGAAGCCTGACTGGTTAGGGTCAGGAAGATCATTCTGAGAGAGATAACAAGAGAGTTGATCAGAGACAGCATGCTCAAGTGTTTTGGAAAGAAAATAAAGAAGGGATACAGGTCTATAGTTTGATGTCAGATGAGTTGAGTGTTGGTTTCTTGAGGAGGAAAACGACTCGGACCATTTTGAAGTCAGAGGGGACGCAGCCAGTGGTCAGGGATGAGTTTGAGGGAAGTGAGGATTGAGAGAAGGTCTCCAGAGATGGTCTGGAGAAGGGAGGAGGGGATGGGGTCAAGCGGCAGGTTGTCAGGCGGCCAGATCTTACTAGTCGCAGGATTCCATCTGGAGAGAGAGGAGAGAAAGAGGTCCAGGCATAGGGTAGTTCTTTGTGAGTGGGACCATTGCACTCAATAGGCTGTGTGAATGAAGAGCGGATGTTGTCAACCTCCCATAGAGAGGGAGGAGGGAGGGGCAGGGGGTGACGGTTTAAGGAGGGAGGAGAAGGTGGAAAAGAGTTTCATAGGGTTAGAGGCAGAAGCTTGAAATTTAGATAGAAAGTTGCTTTAACAGTGGATACAGAGGAAGAGAAGGTAGAGAGGAGAGAGAAGAAGGATGATAGGTCCTCCAGAAGTTTAGTTTTCCTCCATTTTCACTCAGTTGTTGGCAGCCCTGTTCTGTAAGCTCGCAATGAGTTACTCAGCCACAGATCAGGAGTGGCGCAGTGGTCTGTGCCACTAGAGATCCTGGTTCGAATCCAGGCTCTGTCGTAGTCGGCCGCGACCGGGAGACCCATGGGACAGCGCACAATTGGCCCAGCGTCGTCCAGGGTAGGGGAGGGAATGGCTGGCAGGGTTGTAGCTCAGTTGGTAGAGCATGGCGTTTGCAACGCCAGGGTTGTGGGTTCGATTTCCAACGGGGGGCCAGTATGAAAAAAATATATGTATATATATAATGTATGCACTCACTAACTGTAAGTCGCTCTGGATAAGAGCGTCTGCTAAATGACTAAAATGTAAATGTAAAAAATGAGGGCCGAGCCGGCCAGGAGGAAAGGGGACAGTGCTAGTCATAGGATACGGAAAGGGAGGAGAGTAGGTTCGAAGAGGCAGAATCAGGAGACTGGAGGGAGATGGATTTAGCAGAAGGGAGATATGGTAGGTTAGAAGAGGAGAGAGTAGTGGGAGAGAGAGAGCGAAGATTGCAACGGCGCATGACCATCTGGGTAGGGGCTGAGTGGCTAGGGTTTTTTTATTTACTTTATTTAACCAGGTAAGCCAGTTGAGAACAAGTTCTCATTTACAACTGCGACCTGGCCAAGATAAAGCAAAGCAGTGCGATAAAAACAACAACAACACAGAGTTACATCTGGAATAAACAAAAACGTACAGTCAATAACACAATAGAAAATAGAACATCTATATACAGTGTGTGCAAATGTTGTAAGTTATGGAGGTAAGGCAATGAATAGGCCATAGTGCAAAATAATTACAATTTTGTATTAACACTGGAGTGATAGATGTGCAGAAGATGATGTGCAAATAGAGATACTGGGGTGCAAATGAGCAAAATAAATAACAATGTAAATAACAATATGGGGATGAGGTAGTTGGGAGGGCTAATTACAGATGGGCTATGTACAGGTACAGTGATCGGTAAGCTGCTCTGACAACTGATTCTTAAAGTTAATGAGGGAGATAAGTGTCTCCAGCTTCAGAGATTTTTGTAGTTCGTTCCAGTCATTTGCAGCAGAGAACTGGAAGGAATGGCGGCCAAAGGAGGTGTTGGCTTTGGGGATAACCAGTGAAATATACCTGCTGGAGCGCATACTACGGGTGGGTGTTGCTATGGTGACCAATGAGCTAAGATAAGGCGGGGATTTGCCTAGAAGTGATTTATAGATGACCTGGAGCCAGTGGGTTTGGCGACAAATATGTAGTGAGGGCCAGCCAACGAGAGCATACAGGTCACAATGGTGGGTAGTATATGGTGCTTTGGTGACAAAATGGATGGCACTGTTATAGACTACATCCAATTTGCTGAGTTGAGTGTTGGAAGCTATTTTGTAAATGACATCGCCGAAGTCAAGGATCGGTAGGATAGGCAGCATGAGTGAAGGAGGCTTTGTTGCGAAACAGGAAGTTAATAAAACTATTAATAGCATAGGTGGAGCTAACAACAGTTGGGTTACTTACGGTAGCTAACAGAGCTTTCAATGGAAATTAAATTAGCAGGGTGAGAGCACTGAAATACTGAAGAATTATTGATATTCATATGCAAACCATAATATGCTGGATTTAGGTTTCCCACTAGTTAACAGAGCCACAAAGTCAAAATTGGTGTGGTTATCAGTGTGGTTAAGGAAGGGTTAAGGTTAGGGTTAGGTTTAAAATCTGATCTTAAGAAGGTAAATTGTAGAAATAGGTGGAGTTTAGCCATAATTATGACTTTTTGGATGTGTTATCTAGTGACGACCTGGCTTTAGGCTTGCAGGGTCTAGCATCAGGGTTAGATGCTATTGGGTATTATTATTATAACTATAATTTCCCCCTCCTGTTTCCCATCCAGCTGGGCTCAGGAGTTCCTCAGTGAGGAGAACCGAGGTCTGGACGTCCTGGTTGACTACCTGTCCTTCGCCCAATGTGCCGTCACGTAAGTACGAGTCCTTCACGTCTACAATGCCTTCAGAAAGTATTCCGTCCCCTTGAATTATTCCACATTCTGTTGTGTTACAGCCAAAATTCAAAATTGATTAAAGATATATATTTTTCTCACCCATCTAAAATCATGTTTTTAGATTTTTTTCTCAAATTAATTGACAATGAAATACAGAAATCTCTCTTTAAATAAGTATTCACATCCCTGAGTCAATACATTGTAGAATCAAATCAATCACATTTTATTTTATTTGTCACGTGCTGAATACAACAGGTGTAGACCTTACATTGAAATGCTTACTTACAAGCCCTTAACCAACAATGCAGAGTTAAAAAAAAAGTAAGTAACAAAATATTTGCTATAAAAATACGATACAAATGTCCAATAAAAAAAAGATACACAA